GTCTTCCACGTGTAAATTCGACTTCTCCGTTGACTGCTCAGGAAAAACCCGAGAAAACCATGATAGGCGGGTAATATGTCTAGTGTACCGATCTACATCATCGTGTCCGAAGCGTAGACCGGTGATTAAGCAAAACTCCTCCCGCCCAAAACACGTATACGCCGGTGGAAAATCAAACCATATCTCTTCATCACGACGTTGTATAGTCTTTGGTAGATCGCTAGTCATGGTTTGAAGAAACAGATGGGTCAACATAGCATCTCCACCTGGATGTTGTACTTTCAGCCATGGCCCGAAGCAAGTATCCTCAAATATTTTTCTTTGTGTAGGTGAAAGCTTCGACGCAATTGTTTTGGCCAGGCTTACTTTATTTCTTAAGGTCAATTGAGCCGAATAAAAGTTCTGCAAAAACAATAAACATACCAATTTAGATATACCAAAACTACACTGTGAAGATATGAACAATAAAGAGTAGTAGTTTATTCTTCAAACTTAAATTTGCAACACTGTGAATTTAGTATTTGTTTTTTGGTTGAAGTAATGCAATTCATTCAAGTTTCAATTTGCAGAAGAAGAATAGTTTATGAAACTTTAAATCGCAACACGAAAATGAAAATCGCAACACGAAAATGACTATCGCAACGCGAATTTGACTATCGCAACGCAAGAATCGCAACGAGAAATGAAAATCGCATTGCGATTCTCTCATTGCGATAGTCAAATTCGCATTGCGATAGTCATTTTCGCGTTGCGATTCACTCGTTGCGATAGTCATTCTCGGTTTCAAATACTAAAATTGAAAGAAACTTGAATGGATTGCATTACTTCAACCAAAAGACAAAACAAAGACAAATACTAACTTCACAAGGTTAAAGACTAAACAGTTTAGCAGTATTGGCAGCAATCGAATGAATATAATAAGCAATCTAAGTGAAATGGTTAATCTATTATTGAAAACACTAGTAAACTTATCATCAATTTCAATATGAAAAACCTAATAATAATGTAAAAATTTCAAAATAAAAATAATTAAAAAAACTAACCCTCGGTGGTTGATTTGGTTGATTTTCCATTTCTGACCGTGAATGATTTCGCCGGAGATGGAGACTGTTATCGTCGTGGGGACTGATTTCGTCAGAGATGGGGACGGATGTCGCCTTAGAGAGTGAGAGATGGAGATGAGACTGAGTTGTGATTTAGGGTTTTAGGTTATGAGTTGCGATTACGAGATATACTGTGGACGGTTCAGTGTTCCGATATATTAATATATTCGTGTTTGGAATTTGAAAAAAAAAATACGCGTTAATACGAATGGCGCTATGTAAATCGCATTGCGATAGTCAGATTCGCATTGCGGTTTACGTATTCGCATTGCGATTTACGTAATCGCATTGCGATTTTCCAAATTCGCGTTGCGATTTATGTATTCGCATTGCGAATTAGGAAAATCGCAACGCGAATTTGGGAAATCGCAATGCGATAGTCAGAATCGCGTTGCGAATTTGGAAACTGATTTGCGATACCGGAGATCGCGTTGCGAATTATCGATCGCATTGCGATTTAGTTGGTCATTTTGGCAAATCCAAAAAAAAGTTGGTTAAAATCGTATATTATAAGACATTTTTAGTCACTGAGGTTATTTTCTCTATTTATAATTTTAAAATTATTTTATATGCCGTACCCTTGTCGTCTCCGTACCCTGTAATTTTAAAAATTACCGTCTCCCATCCCCGTATCCGTCCCGTATCCGTATCAGTGCAACATAGACTCCAGATACATGCTTCCACATGCACACACTGGCACACATTTTTGCATGTGTTAATTGGTACAAGCTTGGTGGTAAGATATCTGCTCCATTTTATAACTTTAAAATGGATGTTATATTGACTATTTGTGATGCTCCTACAGACAATTGTGCTGGTACCTATGCTTCCACATGGAGTTCTGCAGCTTGGCTCGTCGGAGATGGTTTGTATTTTTTTTCTTCTAAAATTTTCTTCTCGGCTATAATTATATCCAGTGTTTCTGTCAGTTGTGCGCTTCTAGTCACCTAAACTATGTACAATAACACCAGAATGATTTCAAACTTGTTATCTCTGATAGATGCTATTCAGAGTGAGACCCATGTGAACAGCCGGTGCATTAATTGTTGGTGCTCAGATAGGAGATTACTTATTTTTCCTGCCCCACCACAACCACTAATTGAAAATCAGTATGCTGCTCCATATTATATCCTTGCTTTCAGAAAAAAATACGTTTCTTAACGTGAGTGTAACTCTTTGTGCGGAAATTGGTAGGTGATTGCATTGAAGTACTGCAAGTGGTGCACTTGTTGTATAAATATCTTATGCTATCTGGTTTGTTTCTCTGTACATCAACAGGTTGCTGAAGATTTGTCTATTCCTGCATACATCAAAGATAGATTTACCTGTAATAACATTCACACCCAGTCACCATCGCCAGTAAGTTTTAGTCCTCTTGAGAAGTTAGAAGTACCTTCAAGTAATCAATCAGCCACTGAACTCTGAAGATTCAAATGTTGTTGACAGTATTGAGCCTAAAAAGCTGTTAGCTTTAGATCAGATAAGTTTTCTGAACGAATTCCAAGTGTCTGGAATACATCTCCCTGAGACTCTTGAAAGTGAGAGTGGAAATATGATTAGTGTCCCACCAGTTATCCTCGGTGAATTGCCATCACCACTAAGCCAATCTGTAAGTGTCAATCAGCTTGTAATGGAGGAGAGTGAACTGTTTAGTTTGTATTACCTTAAGGAGGAATTGCAAACCTATCCTGAGTGTAATGCTTACGGAGCAGGATAGTGTGGAGAAATCTTAGATGAAGTTACAATACTTACCCTGCCGGATATTTTCTCGAACCACCTTTGGGAGACTATGATATTGATGATGCCGGTTTCCTTAATTTTCCCAAAGAATGTGAATTCCAAAAAGTTCTTGGACAAGCTTTCGAAAGAGAGGACAACGAATATTTGTTGGAGTCGTCTTTTCTGAGTGGGGATGCATTTAGAAATGGAATTGATGCAAAAGGAGGTGATGCAGGGTATCTGTTGCAAGCTGTGGTTGGTCATGTATATGATGGTTCTGATGATATTGATAATAGATCCGCTTGCATCGTGGCATCTAGTGGACAACTTCTGGTGTCTTCTCGACCTCAAGGTGTAAAGACTGATTCAATTTCATCGAGCAGGCTTATGTCTGCATTTGCTGGTGGGGTGAAAAGTAGTCCTAGTTCTAAAATTTCAGCTTCTTTCAAAAGTACAGTAAGCACAGTAATTGATTATGAGAATCTGGGAAATGATGGCTATTACATACAATCTAGAAAAGGAAAAAAACAGTTCGCTGCCTGCAAGAGAAGGGCTAAACCTGGTGATAACCCAAGGCCAAGGCCAAAGGATAGACGGATGATCCAGGATCGGCTTAAGGAGCTTCGAGAACTTGTTGCAAATGGTCCTAAGGTCAGTACTTCCTCAAGTTAGTATCTGTTTTTGCTTGTCATATGTTACTCACACTCTCCGTCTTGTACTTTATATGCTTATCTAAGTAACCAATATATTTTTCTGATGAATTCAGTTTAGCATTGATGCTCTCTTGGACCAAACCATTAAACACATGCTGTATTTGAGGAGTGTGACCAAACAAGCTGAGAAATTGAGGCAATGGGTGTATCGTGAAGTATGTAAAATCCATGTTAGTAAAATTTAAATGGAACAGTTGCATCTGTTGAAAATTTCCAAATGTTAGCCTTCTCATGTTCTCAATAAATTTCATTTTTCATCTCATTTTTCTGTTGAAAGTTGAGAAACGTATTTCACACATTTACCGATTTTAATATCCTAAAAACTAGAATAATTTTAATGTTGAACGTCTTATATATATATGAGCACTTACTGGAAGAGTTGTGATTAATCGAATGCTTGAGCTCTAGATTTTTCCAAGTTCACGAGCCGTGGAGTACATGTGAAAACTGTTGCTTACTTCCAATGTAGCATGAATTTATGATGATATGAAGTTAAAAGGCAATGGGAATTTCAAATTTACAGGTATTTGATCTCAAGAATATGAGGTTGTCTGAAGCCAAAAATGGTTCCCAAACCGGAACAAGCTGGGCTTTTGAGATCGAAGATGAACGGAAAGTATGCCCCATCGTTGTTGAAGATCTTGCATATCCAGGTCACTTACTCATCGAGATCAGTTCTTCGTGGAAAACACTGAAAAATTCTTTTAGCAAACGAAAAAAAATATTAAATGCTTCTACTTGTTGGTTTTCAAACAAATAACAAATTTCAAAACCACATCCACTGTAGATGCTTTGTAACGAGCATGGTTTGTTTCTAGACATCGCTCAGGTGATCCGAAGCTTCAACTTAACAATCTTGAAGGGTGTTGTGGAGAGCTGTTCAAACAATACATGGGTCATTCATTGTTGAGGTATAACTCATTTTAGAGACCTTTTATGTTCTGACAAAAAGAGCTTTTTACAATGTCATATGTCTGAGACATAATTTAAACTTCATGCAGACTTCTAGTGGCTTTCAGACTGGATATTTTCTGGCCTTAGATGAAGCTTTTACAGCGTCAAAGAAATCCTATTTCAAGTGAAGATTCAATGATGAAAAACCGTCTATAGGAATACCTGTGTAGTAATGCTGCCATCAAAGCTGCATGTGAGCAGTTCAACATCCGTGAACGACATATGTCTGGTAGCTCGGTGGAGAACCAACCTAAGCAACAGTGTAGGTTTTCATGTGGCCATGGGGTGTATATATGACCGATGACAATCGTAAGCCCTTGTTCGCAGCTTAAGTTGATCTCTAGGACGTGAATTATTGTCCCTGTCTTCTTTTTCTTTTTTTCTAATTTACTCTGAGTTGTGTTGTTTTTGTTGCTAAGACTCAAGTTCGTGCTTTGTTGAAAGACGAAATTACAGTTCCTCTCTTTGCTTTGCTTAATCTTACATTTATTTTCAATTATCTGCCATTCCATTTACTGAAACCCTAAATGTTCCACATAAGAAATTGTTACATTGAACCCCATTAGTTTTTTGCACAAAGTTTGCGTCTAAAACATTCTGGTAGCTCGATGCTAAAGATTTCAAGGATTGAATAAATTAAAGCTTAAGTTCTGAAATGGCCAGCAGCCACCTGCTGTATACCCTCCATCCACACATATAACCTGTCCAGTGATGTATGAGGCTGCTGGAAGGCAAAGGAATGCCACCATTGACAAAATATCTTCGGGTTCTGCTATCCTCGGCATTGCCGTTCCACCTATCAGCCTCAGAAATTCCACAACATATGCAGCGTCTGCCTCCTGGAATCGAAACGAAATGAATCTTAAAGGGAAAAGAAACATATCTAATCTTCCTTATTGAAGGTATGTTAGAGGTGATTTACTGGTTTTCTTATCGATGTTCTAACACCCCATGGCAAAACTGTATTCGTCCGAATGTTATCCTTAGCCCACTCACATGCCAAGCTCTTTGCAATTTGGTTAATTGCACTTTTAGATGCCGAATACACTGATAATCGAGGTAGAGCCATTGAACCAGCCACAGAGGAGATGAACAAAATACTTGCAAATCCTGATGCTTTAAGGAAAGGATGTGCAAGCTGACAGAGATGATAAGGAGCCTGCACTAATTTCTTTGACATTGATAAAATAAATTTAAATTTCTAGAAAGTAATAAAAAAAAGACATTACAAGCCTGTCTTTGTTGTATTTTAAAGGTAGGGGACAACACCATACCCCAAGAAAGTGGCCTAAATGTCTAATGTTAGGAAGTGCATCCAACCAACATGACTAGAAAGACAAGTTTTTGTCTGATGGTTGCTTTTCCTACTTATTTAAGATTAAGATTTTCTTTCTCTTGCCTATCAAGTTTATGTTCTTTTTATTTTATTTTTTTAGTTTTCTTCTTTAATCAGCATTCGAAATATATTATTATCATATAAAATATTTAAATTTTAATAAAATATCAAACAGTTTTTAGATTTAAATTGAATATTAAAAAATAATATTTATTTTTTAACATTTAATTTTAATTCAACTATGCAATTTTAAATGGACTTGATTAAAGGGTAAGCTACAAGAGATATTATTGAACAGTCTTAACTTTATCTGATAACTCATTTATATCATTAAACTTTTAATTTTGTTAATTATAACATTAAATTTTAGTTCTACATTCAATTGTGTCACTTTGTCATTAAGTCGATAACGAAACGATGACATAACTAACGGTTGATATGGCCTAGCACGCTAAAAACGATGTTGTTGGGGCGACGATTATTAATGTCCAAAACAACGTCATTTTGTACACTATATTTTAAAGGTATATTGATTTTTTTCATTAAACTATATAGTTAAAAATATTTCATGTAATGCTTATATTTTGACAAATATCTAATATGAAATATGCATTTGAGAAACCTTTGTATCTGCTTATAATACCTTTAGCAAGATTGATGCCGACCTGATTGGAGACACCTTTAAGAGAAGGAGATGTAATAAAATGGATTAGGGGCGAACAAAATTCGATTTGACTCGTTAACCTTTTACCTGGATATAGAGGGTGTACTGAGGCTTTAAACAAGACAAAAGTAACTCATTGAAACTCACTAACCATGTATCTTCTTTTACTTGGTGCTAAAGGTGACCTTCCATTGGCTCATTTACAGCACTACAGGCACTGCATTCTGTTCCACTCTTGAACAACTATATGATTTCCATGTTGGAGTCTTAAAGTAGAAATATCCCAACAATTTTTCAAGAGATTGTATTTGTATTTTGAGTAAACTACACGTTTAGTATCTCAACTATCTTTTTTTTTCGTTTTGGTCACCAAACTATTTTTTGTTTTAAAATCATACATAACGTTACGTTTTTGTTTCATTTTGGTAATCTGTCATTAAAAAATTAACAGTGATACTGATGTGTCACCATAAAGTAATGCCACATCATTATTTATTTTTTAAAAGAATGCCATGTCAATAGTTCTGATACTTTTTTAACGACAAGTGACCAGAATGAGAAAAAAAATTATATTTAGGGTATTAGACACGTAGCTTACCCTTGTATATTAGATCATTCATGTAAGAATCATGTCCATTCTTTTGCGCTGATTTCTAAATGTATAGATGGCGTACAATTTGTACAAAGAGATTCATTGGTTTTGGCATAACTTTTTTTTTCTGTCATTAATTATAATATGATGTATAAAAGATGTTGTAACTTGTAACTAAATAAAGATGTTGGTGCAGTGGTGAAGGCATGCCCAAGGTTTGATTCTTGCCTCCTTATACTCTTTAATTTATTTTCACCCACCTAAAACCATTTATTTGGGGATTAAATATGTAATTATACTAATTTTTTAACTCATGAAACATTTAGTGATTTAATTAATAATATTTAAATAATTAAATAATTTAATTAAAGAAATTAAAAGATTTATAGTCAAAATAAAGTTCATCCATAGTTAACTAGTTATGGGTGATTACACAATGCAACTGAGTTAAGCCCAAATCCAGCCAACTAGTATAATTCATTTTTTTAAAGCATGACCAATAAGATTAAGGCATGATATAAAAAATAGTCTCAACGTTTACTAAAATAATTATTTTGGCTCATATTATTTTTGGGAAGTATTTTATCCCTCAACGTTTCACTTTGAGACAAAAAACTCCCTTTATATATGAAAATCCCTGGTTAACATATGATTAACGTCCCAAAATAGGAGTATTTTTAACCTAAAATGAAACGTTGAAGACTAAAATGTCCTAGAGAAAAAGAATAAGGGAAAAAGTGATTATTTTGTCAAATGTTAGAGACTTTTTTACTCTAAAACAAAACGTTGGAAGATAAAATACTCTAAAAAAGAATAAAGAGTACAATAACTATTTTAAAAAAGTTTGAGAGGTAAAACACACTAAAAAATAAAATAAAAAGTAAAATAATTATTTTTGTGGGTTTATTTTGACTATATGCCTAAGATTAATGGGATTTTATGGCACTAAGCTGTTGGAAAAGTTGTTGAAAAAATTTGAAAATAGGGTCCACAGCAGACATTGTGGACCTGTTAGCATGCTCCAAGTTAGATTGCAGGTGCTCAGTTTCACATTTCACAATTGCTGAACATTCCAAATCTGTCTGGCGGCCATGGATGATGATGAACCGTGTTACTTTTGGCTTCATCCAAAAGAGAAACACAGATACCAACAAATGGTTATTCAGACAAGCACATTGTCTGGTAAAATTTATGCAAATTAAAAAACTATGAGAAAGTTTTTACAATCATCGACCTCCTGAAAGTAGAGAATCTGCGACAGAAGATGATTGGGAGAATCCCTTGTAAATGGAAGATGTATACGACATGGCGAAATCATCGAACCCTTCTCGATGTCCGAACGTCAATCCATGGGAAGAGAGACTTAGTGATGATATTTCCGGGAAAGGAATATCACCTTGTAAGATCTGAACAACTTGACGCATCGTCGGCCTCGCTTCAGGCTCCGAGTGAGAGCACAGCAACCCGAGTTTCAAAACCAACTCCACTTCCTCTGCTACATAATCTGAACCCAAGTTCGGATCTTTGGCCTCCAAAATATCACCTTTGAACAAACATGAATACACCCAATCCACCAAGATTACATATTCCGGTGTTGGAGACTGTGTCTCTATCGGTCTTCTTCCGCAAGCAACTTCGAGCAAAAATGCCCCGAAAGCAAACACATCGGTGCGCGGTGTGGCTTTACCGGTTCGAGTGTGCTCCGGTGCCAAATAACCGAGAGTTCCCACAACATGAGTTGTTTGTGGATCCGTTCCGTGATCATATAATCTAGCCAGCCCGAAATCTCCCAATCTTCCATTTAATTCACCGTCTAGTAAAACATTGCTGGCCTTAACATCTCTATGAATGACAACTTGTTCCCATTCTCCATGTAAATAAAACAATCCTGATGCTACACCTTTGATGACTTTGAATCTCTGTTTCCAATTTAATGTGACGTCCGGCTGGTCATACAGATACTTATCAAGGCTTCCATTAGGCATGTAGTCATAGACCAAAAGTAGTTCATCTTTGCGCCGGCAATACCCCAATAGTTGAACTAAGTTCCGGTGACGGAGACGACCGATGCTTACGATTTCCGCAATGAATTCCTTCAGCCCTTGCCTTGATTCATGTGAGACTCTTTTCACTGCAACCTCGAGTTTATTGCTTGGAAGAATTCCTCTATAAACCCTACCAAATCCACCAGCACCCAGAAATTCCTTGTCTTTAAATCCTTTTGTAGCAATATATAGATCTTTGAATTTGAATCTATGAGGACCATACTCAAGCTCCCAATCTTCAACAATTTCAGCAAACTTCCTCTTCCTTCTTATGAAATAAACAGAACCAGAAACTAGAGCCAAAGTCAAACTCATCGAAATCAAAGGCAAACCAATGGTGAAAACCTTTGATCTTTTCTTTGGTAAGATCCGAGGAAGCTTGGGAAGTTGAGACAGGTTAAGCTCTTGTGCTGGACCGTTAATCTTAAAGCTCCAACCCAAGACATAATGAGATGTTAGAACCGAACCAGTTGACGATGAAAACCCAACATACATCTCACGGTTAACAACTGAAGAAAGATCACGAGACAAAGATAAAAGTGGAGTATTGGGTTTGGGGACCTTAAATGGAGCTAAAGTAACATCTATTGTCTTGTTTAAACCATCGTACTCGACCCAAACTTGCATCCGTTGACCACTGATCAAAGTCAGATTCTTAAACTCCGACCGGCTGCCGTCATAATAACCAGCTGGGAATGATTCATCAGACTTCAACCCATTGATATCAATCCCAACGTGGTTGTCATTGATATCATCAAACTCTGTGCTTTGTATGGTATCGAGCTCGACAGCAAAAACATGATTAGTTCCATTGCCATTGTTGAAATCATTGAAGAGTCCGAGATACTGGCTTGGAAGAGATCCGGGGAGGCCTCTGGTGGGCGCAATGACGAAAGCGATTCCATGGCCGCTGAGAGCTGGATATTGGGAGACGATAGCGAAGACGAAGGTGGTCGAGAAGGAAAAAACCGAACCGCCGGTTGAATCCTTGAAGTTGATAAGACCAGGGTAGAAAGCATGACCTTTTTGTTGCCTGGTATTGTTGGTGAGCTTTAGGAGTCCATTGGAAGTAAACTCCGCGATGCCATCGTGGCTTAGATTAGCCGACCGGAATCCATTGTAGACGAAACCAACATCCTCGGCGGCTGCAAAGGTTATCAGAAGAGTTAACAGAATTGAGAATCTGAAACACATGGCTGATATGTGTCAACACTGTCGCCTGTGTCTTTGTTTTCTAGCCCTTTTATTCAATTTCTTGATCATGAAAGTTCATGGAATCTCTCCTATTATTACATGGTAATATCCACGAGTTTGACGAATAATTCAAGTACCGGATTCGCCGCCAGTTAATCTAAAGAAAATATAAAGAAAATTTATTTAGTTTGAAAATTATTTAACTGGGTTTCCAACCAAATAAAAGAAAAAACTAGGAAGCTTCCAAGGTAAGTGCTGACACCGCCAACTTGTGTTATTGAATTGTTACATATAAATCGAATAGCCATAAATTAATTGTTTTTTATTTTTTTTAAATAATTTAATTTAATATTTGAAATCATCAAGTTTTGACTAGCTACGTAGGGATGTAAACGAGCCGAGTCGAGTTCGAGTAGTGCTGAGCTTGAGTTGATTCGAAAAGTATAAAATTGAGCTCGACTCGACTCGAAAACTTACGAGTCTAAAATTGTCAAGTTCGACTAGAACTGGAAATAAAATATTGAAGCTCTACTCGAAAACTAACGAGCTTAAAATTTTCAAACTTGAATCGAAATCAAAAATTGAAGTTCGAGCTTTGAAAAAACATGAACTCGAAATATTCTTAAACTTAGCTCGATTGAAGCTTAAAATCGAGCTCAAACCTAGACTTTAAGTACATAAAAGTTTTATATTGTATTTAAAAAAAAGAACATATAAATGTTAATATTAATAATAATTTAATTTTAAAAATCTAAAAATTCAATATATTATATTTTTATTTGTTCACGAGCTTTTCAAGTCGGATATCAAGTAGTTCGTTTTGAATCGTTAAGAATTCGAGTTAAGTTCGAACTCGAGTCTATTCGATTCGAGAGTTGACCAAACTTTAATTGATTCAATCACGAGTAACTTACAATCTGTCTCATCTTATTTACATCCCTAAAACTACGTTATAAATATGGTAATTTAGAGCATAAAAGTATAAGAGTCGGCATAAATTGATATCATATTTAATATTTTAAGTGAGTTAGACTATTTAGTTGTAAAACTAAGGCTTAATATAATATTATCTCTATATTATAGAATAAGTTTAATTAAATAGTCATTTTTGCTTATTTATTTTTTTCAAAATATATTATCCTCTAATATTTCAGTTTAGGGTAAATATACCTCTAACACTTGGATAAATAGTCACTTTAGTCATTTTTTAGTATTTTGACACTCAATATCCATTTTAAGGCAAAAAGCCTCTATTTTGGATCGTCGATAATATGTTGATTAATAATTTCAATTTATATAGAGTCATTTTGTTTCAAAATGAAACGTTAGAATTAAAATACTTCGAAAAAAATAATATGGGTCAAAGTTATAAATGTTTGATTCTATTTTTCTTTTAATCGGTCATGGTTATTTTCGTCAATGGTATATGTCAACATATTATGATGATATGAGTTATATTCTGATTGTTTAGAGAAAATTAAAACATTTGTTTAGAGGGTTCGTGTCTTAAGAAATATATGTGTCGTATGTAGAAATTTTAAGTAAAATAAGTTACAACATTGGTCACTCATGTAAAATTTTTCGTTTTGATCGCTTATAATTAATTTAATTTATAGCATCTTAAATTTCTAATTCAACACGTCTGAGTTAATCTGTGAGGTCTATGAACTAATGTGACTGTTCAATTAAAACCGTTGAACTAAATTTGGATTTAATCAATTGAGATTTGACCTCAAGTAACTATAAAAAATCCAAATTAAAATCATATATTAAAATCCACCCTATAGACCTCAGGTAACTATAGAGTCTAGCATAAAACTACGTGGTAAATCATATATTAAAATCCACCCTAAAGATTCTAACAAAAATCACATGGTAAATCATATATTTAAATAAAAAAAAATTAAAGATATTTAGTGGTATCGTTAAAGGCTCTCTTTCGCTTTTAGATGATAAAAAAATGAACAAATAAGAGCTAAAATTCCACTGTTCTCACGCTTCGATTCTGTCTAGACTCTCCTAAATCTCAAATAAAAAATTTCTCTTATCGGGTGTCATAAATTCACAAAGATCGTCTTCATTTAATAAAATTACAATAGAATCTAACTTAATTTATAATTAAAATTTAAATCAATATTTAATAATATTCTCGCTATCAAAACTTAAAAAACGTTAAAGAAAGAAAAACAAACAAGAGCTGTAAAAAATATATTACAATAACAGAGAGTATAATAGTCAAAATCATTCTCACCAAATTAAAATTTTACTCTATTCCTACGGAAAAATTGCTCTAATATTGTAATTGCATTTTTTATTTTTCAAAATATAGTAATTCATATTTTATTTTTAAATCTATTGCACTTTAAACAGTAAATTTAAAGACGGTGGATTGCAACCCATCTTTACTGTTCATATAATTTTTTTAAATAAAAAATGAGACACGGTTGGTATGCAACCCATCGTCACTACTCACCAAAAAAATTACTACAATAAAAAAGATGTGATTACAAATCGTCTTCACTATTCACAAAAAATGAGCTACAGTAAAGATATTAGAATTACAATCCGTCTTCACTATTAACAAAATAAAAAAATAAATAATCCACAATACACTATACTGTTAACCCAAAAAAAACTGATATGAGTCAGTGTGCAGGCCAGGCAGCAGTAAACTATGGGGGCAAATAAAGGTAAGTGGTACCATTCAAAGAAAATAAAAAAAATAATTTCAATTAAAGTGTTAAAAAAAAGGAGCAGTAATTGGAAATATAAAAAGCTGGAGTAGAATAGTTGATTGATGAATGGATAAATATGTGGTTGAAATTTAAAACTTTTGTAATAAATATGAGAGATTGTTGAAGTTAATTTAGAAAAAATTGTAGTAGTAGTAGTAGAAGGAGAAGAAGAAGAAATAGTAAATAGAAATTACGTAATATTATATTGTTAATTTTGTTTTTAATTTTTAAGTTATATATTATAGTTAATTTGATTATTGATGATGAATGCTACTAAAAATTTAATATTATGCATGTAATTTGAGAAGAAGGAAAATATTGTAAAAGAAGAAGAAGAACAAGAAGAAGAAGAAAAAGGAGAAGGAAGAAGAAGGAAGAATTAGAAATTTCTATTAGTAAGTAGATGTATATTTTATTTTATTTTAATTAAGTAATATTATATCGTTAACTTTGTTTTTAATTTTTAAATGATATATTATATAGCTAGTTTGATTGTTGAGAAATGTTAATATAATTTTAATATTATGCATGTAGTTTGAGAAGAATGAAAAAATTGTAAAAGGAGAAGCAGAAGAATGAAGAAGGAAGAATGAGAAAATATTAGTAAGTAGATGTATATTTTAATTTTTAATTAAGTAATATAAATTTTGTTTTTAATTTTTAAATTATCTATTTAGTTAATTTGATTGTTGATGAATATTAATATTTATGTAGAAAAAATTTACTATATTATATAGTTAGTTTGATTGTTGAGAACTGTTAATATAATTTTAATATTATGCATGTAATTTGAGAATAATACAAAATTGTAAAAGAAGAACAATAAGAAGAAGGAGAAAACATTAGTAAGTATATGTATATTTTAATTTTTAATTAAGTAATATTATATCATTAATTTTGTTTTTAATTTTAAAATATCTATTATAGTTAATTTGATTGTTGATGAATATTAATATTTATGTAGAAAAAGTTTGCATGTTATAGTTTATTTTTTTAGTTTTATATATATGATGTAGTAGTAGTGTATTTTTTTTAAAATTATTTTTAAAGAAATTTGTTGTTTTTATTCTACTATAATACAAGTAATTTTGAGAAGATATAAAGAAAAAGAAGTAAGATTAAAATAAATTTTGGATAATATAAAAAATTTAATTTATATAATTTGAATTTAAATTTAAAATTTCTTAAAAAGATAGAGCAACAAAACTAAATTTAAATAAAAAAATTATCTAATTGTTTTTAATTTCAACTTACTTATAATTAGATTATTAAAAATAAAAATTATATAAGATAATATAATATATAGATAATTTTTTGTATTTAAAATGTAATGGAGGAAGATTAATTTTTATTTTATTAAACCTTTAGGGATTAAGTGTGTAGTTTAATTTACTTTTTCCGAATATATATAACAAATTACATGATAAAAACTTTAAAAATTTAGATTTGGTTATTTTATTCTCATTTTTAATAAAAGAAGTTCTAGAATTTAAATTTAAATTGCATGTTATAGAATTGTTTAAAATTATTAGTGATTTATTAATTAATGATGATTAATTAATATAATTTAAAGTGAAAAAAAGAAGGTAGAATTAATAAAATGTATAGCCTCAAATTGTCAACTAGTAAATTTAATTTTTAATATTTTAATTTAAGTAATATAAATATTTATATTTTCAATAAATATGTTATAATTAATTTATTTTGATTATTATAAATATTTGCTAATTATTATCAATATTTTATAAAAATATTGATATTTGTAATGTAGAGTTGGAAGTTGTTAGAAGGATGGCAGATTAACCTCCTCTGTTGAGATTACAAAATGAACACATCAGTAGTCTTATATCAAATGAACTGGTATACCTTTTTGTTTATTTATTCAATTTTTTATTAAGAAATAAATTGTGTAGTTATATGTCTCACACGATCTTATTTGAGGTTGTTTGTATTCATTACAGGATACTGTGGAAGTATTTCGACATCGAGGGATAGGAAATAATCACCTACACAAACTTATTATTTCATTTTTGGATATTGCAGGATTTTATCATGCTACATTTATTTGTGGCTACAAATTAATCCCTGGATTGATTACTGCATTAATTGAAATGTGGAGACCGGAAACCCATACTTTTCATTTGCCATGTGGAGAATGTACCATTACTCTAGAAGATGTGGTCATGCAAATTGGGGTCCCTGTAAATGGGAAGCCATTGATTGCTCATACTGATCTTAATGCTCAGGAATTTAGCTTAAAATATTTGGGGAGGTACCATATGAGAGAGATATAAAAGGTTCTCATATAAAGATGACTTAGTTGGAGAACGAATTTA